CTGAAGTCAGACGCTTAACCGACTAAGCCACCCAGGCACCCCTACGTTGTTTTGTGTTTTAAAGTTTGTTTATTTTGAGAGAGAGTGCAGGGGAGGAGGAGAGGGAGAGAGAATCCCATGCATACTCCGTGCTGTCAGTGCAAGGCTCCATTTCATGAACCATAAGATCATGACCTGAGCTGCAGTCAAGATTTGGACACAACCCACTGAGCTACTCAGGCACCCTGTTTGTTTGGTTTTGTTTGTTTGTTTGTTTGTTTTTAAAATAAGCTTATTTATTTTGAGAGTGAGAGAGCATACACACAGCAGGGTAGAGACAGAGAATCCCAAGCAGGCTCCACGCTGACTCAAGGCTTGATCCCACAAACCATGAGATCATGACCTGAGCTGAAACTAAGAGTTGGACGCTTAACTAACTGAGCCACCCAGGCGCCTGTATCACATTTTTATTAAATGTTTATATTTATTCACATATTTTGAAACTGAGGAATGAAAAGCAAATGTTAAATAGATGGTAGGATTAAGATGGCTTGTAATTTGGCTTCTAGTATTTATAACTGCTTTATTGAGATAGTATAAGCTGTACATCCTTAAAGGATATGATTTGGTATGTTTTGACACGTATACACCTGTGAGACCATCACCTTACCTATGTTTTTTAATTCTGTAAAGTGATGTATTACAGATTTTATTTTTTTGCTTTAATTTTTTTTTTAATGTTTATTTTTGAGAAAGAGACACAGAGCATGAGTTGGGGAGTGGCAGAGAGAGAGGGAGACACAGCATCCAAAGCAGGCTCCAGGCTCTGAGCCGTCAGCACAGTGTCTGACGCAGGACTCAAACTCACAAGCCACAAGATCATGCCCTGAGCCAAAGTTGGACGCTTAACCGACTGAGCCGCCCAGGCGCCCCTGTGTTTTTGCTTTAAAAAAAAAAAAAAAAAAAAGGAAAGCATATTAACCATTGAACTGGCTGAACCAAGAGGGGAAGGGATTGGTACCCACTTCCTGAAGGCTAGGCTATGATGGGCAGGCGGGAATCTTGAAAGGAAGGGCTGGGTACCAGAATGGACTTTGGATCTCTTGTCCCTGGGCCACCTTCTCATAGGCCTGGGCCCTTTCTCAGGACAAAGTGGGCCAAGAGAAGCTGGGAGGGGTGGTGGGAGGATGCCCAGGCCTGAGCATCCAGTCTCCCTTTGCCCTTCCCCAGGAGGCCTCTGCAACCTGTGTCCAGACAGGGCCAACAAGGAGCACATCCTGCAGACAGGGGGCATCCCCCTCATCATCAACTGCCTGTCCAGTCCCAACGAGGAGACCGTGCTGTCCGCTGTCACCACAATCATGTACCTGAGCTCGCCAGGCTCTGCCTCCCACCCTGAGCTGACTGCCATGCCCGTGGTGCAGTGCATGCTGCGCTTCTCTCTCTCGGCCAACACCAGGCTCCGGAACCTGGCCCAGATCTTCCTCGAAGACTTCTGTTCCCCAAGCCAGGTGGCGGAAGCCCGTAGCTGGCGGGCTCACTCTGCCCTGGGTATCCCACTGCCAAGGACTGAGGCCCTGCAGCAGCCCTGATCCAGGGAGATCTCATGGCCATTGACACCCTGACTGCTAGAGACAAGACCACAATCCCAGTGGGGACTCGGAGCAGGAGCAGCCTGGCTCCCACTGAATGTGTTCTCCCCAAAAGGTGCCCTTTAAGGTATTTTAAAGGTGAGTTTTCTCAGTGTGACACATATTTACACTGTGATGAGAGGCATTAGATGAGTGAGGGAGCCAGACCTGGAGGCCCATGGAGGAGAGCAAAGGCCATTTCCATAGATTGGCACCCTTAACCAGCTAGAAGTCAAGAGCCTGCCTCCTACCCTCCCCCCCCCCCCCCCCCCCCCCCCCCCCCCCGCAACCCCCCACTTGAGCCAGGCTCTCAACCTAATGTGAGAGAGAAGCAGCTGGGACCCTAGATCCAGAGGCCTTGCAGAAGGGGGTTTTCATGAGGAGCACCTGGGCCTGGGATTAGAATTGTTCATGCTTGAGGGAATAGGAATTCTCCTTTCACAGAAGTATCTGAAGTAATCTTGAGGAATACAAGTGAGAAGCCAGCTCTGGGAAGTTGGTCATGCCCACTCCAGGGCTATGGAAGCTGGGTACCTACACCACAAGGTCTCCAGGCTGGGCATTGGGTATGGTGGACACCGGCCTGGAGAACTCTGTGGCCCGGGATCACCTGTTTATCCACACAGGCCTATCTGCTGGGCACCATGGGCTTCAAAGACAAAGGTGTGGTCTCTACTCTTGAGTGATGCAGTCCGCTGACCGTGAAGGTAGCCATCAGGTGTTAAGACCACGAGTATGAGGGTGAGGACATATCAGAATAAGGCACAGATCCTTGAAGCTTCATATTCTGCCCTCGCCACCCCATGGCCCTGGCCTGAACACCTTGGCCTTCCTCCTCTGTCATCAGGGTTGGGTTAGTGAGGACAGGTCCCTGGCCCTGGAAGTCTCAGACTCAGGAGGGCTTCGCGAATGCAAGAGTAGTGCTCAGGGAACACAGAGGACCTCCTGACAAAAATCTGTGGTTTAGAGTCCACAGTGTATGTTGACCAGCACAGGGGAAGCGGTGTGGGACGACCATGGGAAGTTGGGATTCAGGAGCAATGGGGAGCTTCCTGGCCTCCCTTCTGCAGTCCCTCAAGGTTGACCTCCATGGTCACGATGAAAGATGGCAGATGCAAGAGGCATGGTATCCAGATGGGTGTGGAGGTGGGACTGAGGACAGGAGAAAGCCTCCTCCTCAGCCTCCATTCCCGCTGCCCTCCCTAGGGTTCCTGTACCTCTACTTTCCCAAATAAAGGGCCTTTAAAGAGTGGTGAGCCAAAGTGTTTTATTAAAAAGGTTCCTGAGTAGTTTTCCCACCATGATTCCTTGCCAGCCGTCTTGTGGGGTTCCAGGTGGCTGCCGTGTGAGAACCGAGGTTACTGAGTCTCCCTGCTCCACGGTGCTGGTGGCCACCGCCATGGCACTGCCCTGTCATCCAGCTCTGCTGGTGTTCCCTGATGGCCTGCCTTCCCTTCCTTCAGCTACTACCCACTGTCCCGGCCCCCCCGCTTGCTGTCTATGATCTCCCTCCAGTTGTCACTCCAGGAGAGCAGCCGTCTCCTTGTGGGGGGCAGGGCGAGGTGCTGGTTGTGGCAGCAGGTGAACAAAATGTGCTCCCAGCTTGGGGTCTCCTCTTGGCCTGGGACAGGATGCAAGAGAAAGGCAGGGAGATGCAGTCTATAATCTGGTTATTTTTACTCCCTCCCTAATCCAGCAGGCCAAATGCCTGGAAGGTTGCCAGGAAAACGGGTCTAACCTCGAATGGTGTCCTTGTCGTCAATGAGCAGGTCCCCCAAGACCACCGTCTTGTCCCTCGTCAGGATAATGCGCTCCACAAACTGCGGCCCCAGGTGATTCTCCACCCAGCGGTACTGTGGAGGGGGCACAAGTCGGTCAGCAGGGCCAGTGAGTAAGTAGGTGGGAGTGGGGTCTCCAGCCCTTGAGAGATGCTGCTCCCCTCCCCCCCCACACACTTCCTGTGTTTCTGCCCATTTATTAAAAAAAAGGGCTTTTTAAGTTTAATTATTTTGAGAGAGAGCACGAGCAAGAGAGCAGGGGAGGAGCAGAGAGAGAGGGAGAGAGACAATCCCAAGTAGGCTAGGCACCTTCAGCACAGAGCCTGAGCCCTAAACGACCGAGCCCCCGGGTGCCCCTCTGCTAGTTTACTTTAATCCTCAGGATTTAGGAAGCAGTTTGCTATCAAGCGCTGGGGCAGCCGCACCTTCTCGGCCACACAGTGTTCATACTTCGTCAGAGGGCTGGTGCAGATGAAGACTTCGGTGCTGCACGCAAGGGGCGCAGGTTAGACTTAGGGTGGTGCCCTCCCTTCTCCACCGCCCCTCCCCTCTTTGCCCTTTCTCACTCCTGCATGTTGTTCATCTCCTGCAGGGCTTCCAAGGCTCCAGGGATAGGCTCCAAGTCTAGGAAAAAGCCTGGGGCTTCATACACACTGGCCACTTTGTCCTGAAAGATACCATGTTCTTGTCCCAGCTTCTGCCTCCAGCAGATCTAGCCCCAGTGAGGACTCTCAAAAGATTCCTGGGGGGTTTTGGTCTCCAAATCAAAGCCTCGGGGAGACGATTTTGCTTAGGGGGAAGCGCTCTGACAGACTTTCTCGTCCAGGGCGAACAATGGATTCTAAATGGAGGGTTTTGTTAAACAAAGGGGGAAGACAGTCTTGCCCAAGGGGTGGGCTCCCATTCTTAGGTGCCGTGTGGGGTCGGGGCTCGGGCTCCCTTGCATCCTATGGGGTTCGGGCCCTTGCTCCCGGGTATCCTGCGGGGTCGGGACTCCTCGCTCCCGGGGACACTGTGGGGACTGGGGCTCCCTGCCCGCGGACACCCGGCGTTGCATTCCCGCCCTTTCCCTACTTACCGCCAGGTCTGGCCGCAGGGCTCGGTACTGCTCGCGGGCGAGGAAGCCGCGGCGCTTTTCCAGCGCCACGTGCGGCTCCCCGGGGAACCGGCGGCGGAAGCCCCGCAGGAGGCCGGCCTCGAAGTCGGCCAACACGCCATCCATGTCCACCAGCACCCGCACCGGCCGCGCGCGCCGCGCCGCCATCGCCGCAGAGGCCGGGCTGGGATTGGGGGGGAGGCGGGGGCGGGCAGGCGCGGGCCGTAGCTTCCGGAGGCGCGCGGTGGGCGGGCGCACCGGGCTCATTTGCATGGGCGCCGGTGAGCCCGGCCTCGCGGGAGGGCGCGACTTTTCCCGGGAGGCGGCGCGGGGCGGCCCGAGAGCGCGCCCGCCTGCACGTGTACCTCCCCCAACTCCGCGGGGGAACGTACCCGCTCACCCCAAGCGGACCCGGGCGGGGGCGGATCTCAAATTCTGCGATGGGTGAATCCTGTGGGGCTGGCTCCGCCCCTAGAGTCGCGACCGCGAGTCCCGGGGGCCACCGGCACAACTCCCTGCTTGTGGGACGGGGCACAGGATCACACCGGATCCCGGGCCAGAACTCCCTGAGGCCCGAATCATGGGGGCTCCCAGTAACTTTGAAGTGAATGACTGCTGAAGACCCCTGACTCGTGTGAGTAGAGCTCCTAAGAGATGAACTCATAAACCAGAGTTGGGAGCATCCACTTTATGCATCCAGTCCCACCCAGAGGACACGATTTCCAACAAACTCAGGTAATCGGGGAAGGTCCTTTCTGTGGAAGGGACACCGCTGTTCTAGAATTGGCAGTTACAGCCCCCTCTAGAAAATGCCTAACATGGCTAAGTTTTGTTGACGCTCCTTTGTAGATTTTTCTCAACTTCCTGACTACGTCCAAATACATTTTCCTACAAACCATAAACTCAGATTTGATTAAGCGACCCGTCTTCCTCTAGTTCCCCATCTGAGCACCCAATACTTCCAAACCAATGTTGAAACACATTACAAAGGGGAGACTAGCCTCTCCTTCTAAAGTGATCTAATTAAAAAACTCTCAAGAAGAGGTACAATCGCTGTAGGCAATAGTGAGTCCTCCAATGTTCCCCCTCCTTCCCATTCAAGTCACACAAACTGGATTTATACCCAGTTTATACCTAGGCCAAAGTGTCAACGAAATACTGATTGTTCTGCCATCATCATAAAATCATTCAACTCCACTTTGTAAACCCTAAGCTTTCTAAGTAGAAAATTTAACACCCTTAGCAAACATGTTACATAGAATTTCATAAAATCTGTTCTGATAGTATCTGAATGATTGGCAGAGCTGTCCCTCCCTCACAACACTTGAAATTTGATTAGGCACTTATCTTCAAAAAATAAAAACTTAAAGCCAAGGTACAAGTGTGACACAAATCAGGGACATCTCTTTTCCAGGATCCCCACCATTAGAGAGAGAAGGGTACAGACAGGTTCCCTACCTCCAAAGAGGTTCCAATAGAAACCATAACTCAGGCTAGTATTTGCAGAGCTAACCTGTTTTCATCAAATCAGACGGATCCTATACCAAAGCTGTTGATTCTCCATTTTGCAAATGCTTTCTTTGCACCTTAAGGGAGAAAAGCTTTACACCCCCTGAATCTATTCTTCCTAAAGAAATGTCCCAATAGTTCAAATGAAGCCAGTGGTTATGCTCATCGTCTCAACGGTCTTACATTTTAAGATAGGAAACTGGATCCAAGATGACAAGCCTAAAGAACACAGTTGGGTAGTAGTGCAGCTAGACCTAAAAGCCAAGTCTTAATGCCCAATTTGGACATTTAATATAAATATAGCATGTTGATCTGGAACCTTCTGCCTGAACGCAAAGAGCTTTCCTCTCTTCTGTCTGCTCGGATCCTCCTCCCCTTCGTTTGGAGTGCTCTTCTGTAGCCACCCACCATTGAGAAGCACCTTGATGGAGGAGAGGACTTAAAAACTTACATGTTACTGCCCAGCACAGAGAGTGGGTAGAAGAGTCTAAAATATACTACCTAATAAATATTTTATCATTTATCCGTATCCCTGTATTTTATTAGCACAGGTATCAGTTAACTATCTTTTTGGCATTTTGAACTCCTGCTATGACTGTAAACCTGTTCTCTTTTGAGAGAAGCCCACTTACTTCTCTGGGCCTTCCAATAGTCTTTTAACTTTAGTGACTCATCGGTTCTTGGGCAACAGGATTTATAGTAAAGAAGAAAGCAACTGAACAGGTAGAACAGTGAAACGATCTCAAAAAGATGACACAGGACACGATGTTCCAAATTTGCACATTGTTTACTTTGAGCAACAGTCCAGGATTGTGAAGTACAACACACATGTTAAGGATGAGACTTCAGTTCATGGTCAAGCACCAGCATCATGCACACGGCTTCAAGTTATCTAAGAAGAGCACTGCCCCCTTGGGGTCTGTTCATGACGAAGACCCACTTCTGTGTGGCCACCGCCCTCGCTTGCTTTACCACTTGGAAATTTGTCAGTTTGAGTGCACATCGAAGCCTTCCTCTGCAAGACAGCAGCAGGCTTAGCTCATCAGCTAGTTGAGTTAGTATCTGGCTTATTTCTTAAGGTTCAAAAATTAAAAAGGCAGTTTTTGTTTTTGTTTTTGTTTTTTGCTTTGCAGGCAGCAAGGCATGAGGCACAGACCTCTACTGTTCCATATGGCACAGGAAGATGCTTTTAGCAAAGGGCACGGACAAGGTAGGGCTACAATGAGTAAGTTTGGCATAAAGACAACCCTGTGTTTGGGGGCCTGAAGGAACATGCCTGTGGACTGTTTACTGGTCTGCCCAATCAAGGCTTGGTAAACCCAAGTAAAGCTGACAAGAAAAGGGTTTTAAAAACCTCAGTACAAAAGATCCTCTAACACATTTGGAACCAGATTATTCTTAAAAACACCATACTAAGTGTCACAAAACTTTCCCTCCAATCTACTACTAGAAAACACTCATGCCATGGCCTACAGACCCGGAGGAATCAGGACAGATAAAGAGAAACCTGTTCTTAAAAAAAAAAAAAAAGACAGCAGTACATAAAGTGCTTCTTTTTTAATGAAACAAATCCAAAAGATGTACAGTCAGGCTCAAGTTGTGCAGTTCACAAGCATGGAGAAAACAAACAAATAAAACGACAGAGTTCAAGAGAGTCAGAGCTAACCCAGGACGAGGCTGGACTTGCCGCCAGGGGGATTTCTTCGGGACGGCGCTGGGGCCGGGGCCACCGGGCTGGGCACGGGGGCAGCGGGCACGGGCTTCTCCTCGCTCTGCCCCAGGCTGGCCTGCAAATCTGTGTCCACGTTTTCTAGAAAAACAGAAGGAGGTTCAGGCTTACTAAGCAACTATTTCTAGGAAAGATGGAGAGTCTTAAGATTTTTTTTTTTTGGAGGATGGTTTAAATCATACCTAGAGATATATAAGACAAGAATCATTCACCCATGTTCCCACAACCCAAAACTAACCACTTAGTGTTTTGCCTTATTTGTCCCCAGGCCTTTTTCTGTGTGTGCTCATTTCTAAATTGTACAAATATATGAAGATGTAGTATTTTAAATTAGAAGTCCACCTCCGTGTGGGTCTCTTCTTCTGACTCCCAGAGGCCCTACTCGGAATTGTGTCCATTCTAGCCCCTCTGTTATACTTACTTATAAGCGTACTTTATTCCCAACAGATAATATATACTTCTGGGTTTTGTTGTTGTTGTACTGATACCAACTTCCTTTTTTTATACTCGGAAATTTACCCATATTTATACACATGGTCATAATTTACCCTACTTAACTCCTTTATAGTATTTTATCACATGATTCAATATATTTGATATAATACAGTACTGCATTAGCTGTACTAGTCATGAAAACTGGAACCGACCCAACCATTCCAAACAAAGTTGGAATGTATATAGACTGGCAAAGGTGCCCACGGGGAAACAAGTGCTACCATCTTCAATCTGAACAGACACTATGCATCGCCCTCCCTAGAGGAGGCTGTGCCACGTTCTACCCCCAACCCGTGTCAGACTGTGCTGTCCGTACACCTTTGCACATCCATCATTTGATAACCACCTCACTTTAAAATTTGCCAAACTGATGGGTGAAATATTATTTCATTCCTGTTTCATGTTACATTTCCATGATTACTAGGTGAGCCTGATTTCTTTTTCTAACCACAAAGATAACCCATAGTACCAACATCATTTATTAGAGTCTACCTTTCCCCTACTGATTAGTAATATCTCCATTAGATCACTCCCATATATATTAACTACGTACTTTCCATGTTAAAGGCTTCAGAATTAGTGTACTATTATCCAGCATCCTAGAGACTGCTTGATGATTCACTAATCTGTGAAATTCCCAACAAATATATATTCTTAATGAGGCATTTTCCAAAATATGGAAGTCTTTGTTCAAAGTCCAAAGTGACAGTAAAATGCCAGGTCTCAATTCAGTTGCATAATCTCACACCTGCTTTAGAATAAAATCTCTTAGGGCATCTGGGTGGCTCAGTCGGTCAAGCATCTGATTTTGGCCTAGGTCGTGATCTCACCGTTCCCAAGTTCAAGCCCCGCATTGCACTCTGTGCTGACAGCTCAGAGCCTGGAGCCTGTTTCAGATTCTGTGTCTCCCTCTCTCTCTGCCCCTCCCCCAACTTGTGCTCTGTGGCTCTCAAAAATAAACATTTAAAAAACATTTTAGAGGGGGCGCCTGGGTGGCGTAGTCGGTTAAGCGTCCGACT